TGGGCACTGGCCCAGTTCCAGTTGTGGGGAAGATGGCTGCTCACCTGTGGCCAGGGGGTCACGCACAGCCCTGGGGAGGCCTGCCTCTGTGCCCGGGGCGCTGGTGTCTGAGGGTGGTGACAGCTATTCTCTGTCTCAGGAGAAACTGAAGCCCGAGTACTTGGAGGGCCTCCCTGAAACGCTGAAGCTGTACTCACAGTTCCTGGGGACACGGCCCTGGTTTGCAGGGGACAAGGTAAAGGGGCCGGTGATGGGGAATGAGACATGTCATATTTCCTGTGTCCCGGAGCTTCCAGCCCACTCACCCTTGGCCTTCTGCAGATCACCTTTGCGGATTTCCACGCTTACGATGTCCTTGAGAGGAACCAAATGTTTCAGCCCAAGTGCCTGGACGCGTTCCCCAACCTGAAGGACTTCATGGCCCGTTTTGAGGTGATGCCCTCATCCTCTTCCTCTTTCACATCCCTTTTTTTCCTCCCTCATGATGCTTTCCTCTTTCTTGTGCTAAAACGCAGAATAACTAGTATTTATTGATCACTGGCCTATGCCAGGATGTGTGGCCATGCATCTTACATGCAGCATCTTATGTCTTTAGTCAAATCTCAACTGCGTAACATTTGCAGAAGGTCCATAGAATTATCACTTCCATTTTGCAGAGAAGGAAACTGACAAGGGGAGGGTAAGTCATTTGCTCAAGGTCCCAGAGCCCGCTAAGGTGTGCGGGGCTGCCTGTCGGCCTCTGGCTTCTGTGGGCAGCAGTTATGGCCCCCTTTTTTGTGCCTACAGGAAAAGCCTCCGGCCTTGTCTACGCTGGGTTTCATAGCCCAGGACACTGTGGGAGCAGCAGAACATCTCAGTAGTGTGTATGAACCTGGCATTTGTAGCCAAGGTCGGATTGAGGTCTCATACCAAAGACACACACAGTACTTATACCCAATCTCTGCAGCACTTGGCAGCAATTGGATATCTGTCATGGGAACTCCTGAGATCCCAGGGCTGTGGTTGAGGGCACCTGTGGGTGCCTGTGCTGCAGGAGTTTATCTCGAAGTGCTAGCAGTGCAGCACTCTCTTTTCCTCCCTTTCCCCGTCTCACTCTTCCTGCCAGTTTCCCAGGTGTTCTCTCTGGGAGATGCGGTAGAACACTTATTTGAACTCATATTCACTGAGACTCTCCTCTGAGGCACTGTGTCTGTCACAGAGGTAGATGCGATGATAATGGCACCATCAGCCGCTAAGAACTACAGGCACACCTGTCGTTAGAGAGTTGCAGGCACTCCTACCTCTGAGGTGCGTGGTAGAACCTGCGTACTGGGGACCAGAGCCCGTACCTCACCTCGTGCCTAATCGTCTGTCACCCATACTCAAATTATTTGAGAGCAACAAATCCTACTTTAGTACAGATTTGGGAATTTGAGGCATTAGTCCCTCAGATTTTTATTCATCCAGGAATCTGCTTTCCTTTCCCCTCTGCTCAAGAGATCTGCTGTCTCAGCTGGTTCTCATCAGCGCTGGTTCTGGTCCAGGCTGAGCGGCCTTGGAGATTATGTAAGAGGTAGTGAGAGGGGACGGGGAGGAGGAGAGCTGAGGGCTGCAGCCTGTGGCCTGCCAGGGCCTGGCCTTTGGGAACATGCAGCCCTGGATCTCCTTGAACCTGTAGAATTGTCTGGGCACTTTGTCCTGGGAGGATGGCGCCCAGCACACCTGAGTGCCATGAGGCCTGGTCGGCCGTAGCAGGGCTAGAGGTGATGTAGGTTGGGGCACAGTGAGATTGGGCTCAGGTAGCCGGTGGAGAGGTGTGTACTTTCTGCTTACGGGGAATGATTCGGCCTGGCCCAGTTTTCCTTTTGCTGGGCCCCGGCCCCTATCCACTTTCGTCCAGGTTTGCTGAGTCATTGGGTGAGGTCTGGGCTCCGCTGCAGGCTGCACAGGCCTGTTCTGAGCCCCTTTGTGCTGCTAGAGGTCCCTGCTCTGTGGGCAAACCCGGGCAAGCCAAGAGCCTCCCTGTGAAAAAGGAGAATGTTTGTTCAGACAGGATGTGGGAGGCCCTCATTTCGGGGAGGGGGAGAAGAGGGGAATTTGTCAGAAGGAGCCCAGAACTGGAGAGAGCCTGAGCCAGGCTGCTTTCCAGCCCCGTCCCACTTACTAGCTGTGTGAGCCTGAGGAAGTCACTGAACCTCTGTGTAGCTCAGTTTCCCTTCTGCTAAATGGAGGGAGTAGAACCAATCCTTCGGGGTAGCTGGGTGGATCTCCTTAGCCTACCTTGTACTATGTAGGGGATACAGAGCACCCAGCGCAGTGCAGGGCCTCCACAAGCGGTAGCCCTTCCGCAGGTGTGCCGTGAGTTAGATTGGAAGATGCCCTTAGCAGCGCTGGGGACCCTAAGAGACCGGGAGATGCTCCCGCACCTGGGCCCACGGGGAAAGCCCATTGTGAGGGCCCTGAAGCGCTGTGCCTGCCGTGGGCTGCCGCAGCCCTCGTGGGCAGCAGACCCTGAACTCTGGCCTTATTTTTCCCCCTCTCAGGGCCTGAAGAAGATCTCTGCCTACATGAAGTCCGGCCGCTACCTCCCAACGCCTGTGTACACAAAGATGGCCTTCTGGGGCGACAAGTAGGGCCTGGTAAGGCCCAGAGATGGCAGTGAGGAGCCCATGCTCAGCCTGCTGCCTGGGCCCCTGGAGAGCCGCGGACTCTCTGCACCCGAGTTGCGGCCTTCTCGTCCCTCTGCCTTTTTCATTCCCTTCTCTCCAAGGCCTCATTGGCGCTTTTTGCTTCCCCTAAGCCCTGTCCCATCCAGGCCCTCTGAAGCCTCAGCTTCCCACTTTCCTTCAGCAAGGTCCCCTCCCACCTTTCCCCTTCCCTGCTCTAAGGCCACCGTGACTTTCTTCCTGTGAGCGGTTGTGCCTGTGCAGCTGAGTCCTGAGCTGTCCCAGCAGGGCCCGAGGATCCGCTTTGCCTGGCGTGCAGGCCCCGGTCCCCAGCGTGGTCCCTGCACGAGGCCTCCCTGATCCCCAGTAAAGCCTAAACCACATGTGCTCTGTGTCTTGTCTCATTTCCTCCTGGCTACCAGACCGTCCACCTGTCACTGCTACTTCCAGGGGCCTGACTGGTGACCCCGGCAGTGGCTGGGATCACAGGCATTCTGGAGGGTGTGGTGAGGTGCTTGAGACTTCTTGCTTCCGTTTCTGATGCCCTTGGAGCAGGAAGCCCCGTGAAGCTGTGTATGGAAAGCGTACCTCTCTCTGGGCCTGGGTCT